ATTAGTTTGCTTATAAGCAGGCAGGAAGCATTCCTGGAGTGTCTTCTGCTAAGCTCTGCCATATGGGTCTTGGTGAAAGGCCCTGGAAGGGTAGAAACCAAAAACCCCACAGAAGAAACTGACAAAGACGCACAAAGAATATTTTGAAGTTGCACATAATTTTTTAGTAAGTCCAAGTATAACCAAGGGCCAAGCAAAAAAGTACCCCCTTTAATACCTAGATGGAAGGGAAAATGAGCCAACTAACTAGCGGAACTACGTGAAATAAATTTAAACTTTAGAACAAGTGTTTAATAAATTATGCCAAGCATTTAAGCAGATGTTCCAGTTTCTTTTAAGATAGAAAGTCTACTTGTAGCTCTTAATGATACTCTGACTCAACAAGTCACTATGCAATCAGTTTGCCAAGAGACAAGGAGCTACTCTTAGCTGTACGGTGCAGACACTCATTTAACATTGTTCAAGGAAGGGGGTCAAAAGTGGCATCAATGGTGGTGTGATTCCTAACTCTATAGGAAGATGACGATAAACCAGATATTTCTGCTAGTGCTTCAAAAATCACTGAAAAAAAATAAAGCTTTATCTTATTGGTTTATTTTAAGCACTTGCACACATTCTTTCCTGGCCCACTAAGTTGATATTAGATTCCAAAAAGACATTTTGCATTCCTAGCACTCTCCAACTTCAGCTTTTAAATAATAGCATAGCATAGCCTCTTATTATCACTCTTAATACACAGCAAGTTAAAGCAAGATATATGCTTATTCATATGAGCAATTAAACAACAGTAATTCAGCAAAATGAGGTTTTGTAATCTCTCATCAGCTCAAACAAGCCATTTGATACTATTCACTGTATCAGTTAAACATGTCTGAGGCAAGTGCTCTAACAAGCGGCATGAGCTAAGCACCCAGAGTTGCCATTTAGCATTCTATTTTTGAAAGATGCTTGCAGAATTATTTCCACAGGAGAATTTTTTATTATTTGTTTTATGACAACAGAGTTCTTGACCTGTACATAGCATGAAAAAAGACCCTGTACTAACCTAAATGCTAGGGACTCAAAGTATTTAGGCTACCAAAATCAGAGACAAGACCCACTCCATTTCAAATAGGTAAAGGAATGAAAATAAGTTCAGCTGAATTAGCACCCATAATGAATCTAATAATTAGTACTTACATAGATGAGCCCAGAGTAATACCGATCCTTTAAATTATGCAATACAGAGGCTTCATTTAAACAGGTTAATTCTGCCATGTCTTCCACTTTAGAGAACTTGGGAGGATTCATCTTCTGAATATCATCTTTATTGACTAGTGCTTTCTTTCCATTCTCTGCCAGTTCAACCAACACTTCATCCCCTTTTTCCTCCTTGATGCTGGCCGCCTCAAAACCATGGCGCTCTGAAGGAATCCACACCAACTTTTTCGCAGTCCAATCAGCCTGGGTGGCAGGGTTGTAGATTACAGCCCTATCCACAAAGAGGTATCTCTCCGGATCTTCCTGTCCGGATCTCTGTGCCATTGCAGGAAGTGAAGGTGTCCACTATCAGTTACCCTGTAAATTGGAGAGGAAAAAAAGCAGAGAGTACGTTACATACCATATTCTTATCAATGAAATGAATGGAGCTATGGCACATCAATGAAATGATCTATCACTAATATCTGTCTTCTCTTGATGAAGCAGCGTCATTAATTTCTTCCACAGTCTGAAGAAGTTTCTATACAGCTGAGAGCCCCTATTCACACAGCGGCCTTCTGAATAAACCAACTGCCATAAAAGTTAAAATGATCTGTCAAGGATAACCCCCAGACCCAGTACAGGAAACTTGGTATAAACTGGTTCTAATTGTGCAGCAACTAGGGAGAGACATTACAACAAACGTGAGACCTACAAGCAGGAAAAACATGCATCTGTGTTCTGTGCTTAAATAAGGAAGAAGAGTAAATTTAACAAAAGCTTACCAGTAAACTCAACTTCAGTTGAACAGGTAAAAAAAAACTATACAAAGAAATGCTCAGTGGATAGCTAACTACAGTAATCAGAAGGCAGTGAGAATATGTTTCAAAATGTGGATTTTCAACTACAGACAAGAACTTGAGACACTTGGGGTTTCTGCAAGCCATTAAGCTTGCTAAACCTTGCTCATATTCTTCTTGAAAAACTTAAGACTTTGCATTTCTACAGCCTGCTTCTGTTCTCAGTTGTGAGCACTGACATTACCATATTGCAAAAAAAATGTCTCCAGATCTCAAGTTTACCTTAAGGCTCAAGACACAGAAAGGACTGATGTTAGATTTTCCAACAGCTTCACGGGTAACTTGAAGAGGAAAAGGAAAACTGCTGACAAGAGCTCCTGCACACTCACTTTACCTATTTGCCTCTAAGAGAGGCCACTGTCACATCCAGGATTCCTGGAGCTAGCAGTTTCATCAGTAACTGCCTGAGGAGCAACAGGTCAAGCCTGACACCTAGTATTCAGGTTATAAAGTACCTTGTTTTTTCACACACTAGATCTCTTCTGCTGAAGAATGTTACCTTAGCTAATGGTAGCCCTTTCCAACAGGTGATCTAAAGGTTAGCTTCAAAAGCAAGGAAGGTTTCGCAAACTGCATTTGTCGCACTTCATACTATGGTATGCACCCTGATGGAAGTTCTGCAACACACCCATCCTCAGAAGAACATGTAATTAAATACAATAGTCTTGTCTCCATCTACGGCATGGACATTGGTTACATTGTCCAATTTTAATGTAAAGTAAGCATGAAGTCACTGAACTCTTCAGAGGTTCGAGGAGCAAACCGTTTACTATAGACGACTTAATTCAAATCAAGAGGTGATGACTCAACATTTAAAGTATTTTAGAAGAGCCTCTGAGTGAAAAATTCATCAAAGAAAGAGGGAATCGTTGAGGAGACCTTAAATGATAGCCAGACTTCTCAGTATGGAAAGTGAGGATATTAGTCAAGGAACGTTACGCTTGGCTCAAGAAGCCCACAAATTTAATAACTGAGACTCCAATCCCAATTCAGATAGCTTTTTGTCTCCACTGGGCTAGACTACAGATGAAGTTCCAACAAAGACCTGAAACACCACTGACGCCCTCATGTGCAAATGCACCTCATGTGCAAATGCACCTCGGTGTCAGGTCTCTGAAAGCTCCCTGGCCAGGTATGACAGACAGCCAAATGCCTTTATGATAAGCTCCGTCTCAGTTTTGCACACTGAGATGTAGTGAAACCTAGAGGTCAAATAAAACTCATGACAAAATTAATCATTATTGTTCCCCAGCAGAATTAAAGGCTGACGACTGAAATGAGTGCATGGACTGACTTTATACCAGTTCCTGAGGAATATACCTAACATTGAGGGACCACAGACAGTTTCAGGGTCGTTTTCCCACTCTGGCTTATAATTCCACAGAACCCATCACAAAAGGTCCTCTGCAGAAGCAAAGCAAGTTGCAGCTTACTCTACCCAGGGCTCCTCTGTTAACAATGGCATTCAAATGAAATACACAAATGAGCACATTTATCATGCAGGAATCCAGCGCTCCCAAAAGACGACTAATGCAGGGGGAAAAGAAGAAAAAAAAAAAAAAAAAAAAAAAAAAAAAAAGAAACCCCCACACATGTTCTGCTCCTCTAAACAAACGGGGGGTGGGGGAGCACCCGCGGAGATGGGGAGTGGCATCCCTCAGCGCAGCCCGGGCATTTTCAAGGACAGGGGCAGCCCGGGGAGCCGCAAAGCCGCACCGCCCCCGGGCGCCGAGGGCTGATGCCCGCTGCGGGAGCGGCTGCGGAGCCCCCCCGGCCGGCCGCAGGCCCCGCCGCCCCCCCGAAGGACAAAGGAGGCGGCCGGGGCCGCTCGGCCCGGAGGGGCCCGGCCCCAGCCCCGCGCCCCCCGCCCAGCCGCCGCCCCGACCGCGCAGAGGCTGCGGGAAAGGGAGAAAATGGCCACCTTCCCCTCACCGACGGAGCCGGCAGCGGCGGCGATGCGCCGGGGGGTGGGGGGCTCGGCGGGGGGGCGGGAGGATGCGCCGACGCGGGCGGGCGGGACGGGCGGCGCGGCCCACACAAGGGGGTCTTTGTGTGCCGGGCCCGCCGCCCCCGCCCCACCCCCAACGGCGGGCGGGCCCGGCCGCGCGCCCCCGGCGAGCCCCCCCCCCCCCGCCGCCGCCGCCGCCGCCGCCGGGAGCCGGGCCCCACCGCCGGGCCCCGCCGCCTCACCTGTGCAGCGCCGGCCGCCGCCGTGCCCCGGAGCTCCCGCGCCGTCCGCCCGGCTCCCCAGCACCCGCGCCGCTCCGCCCCCCACCCGCCGCGCTCCTTTAGCGCCACACCGAGCCCTCCGCCCCCTGCTCGCCGCCGCCGGCCCCGCCCCCGCCGCCGCCGCTACCGGCCGCCGCCCTTCCCATTGGGCGGAGGCCGCGTCCATCCGCCGCCGCTCGCCCGCCCATTGGCCCGCAGCGCGGCCGCTCTCCAGCCACGGCCATAGCAACCTCCACACGCTACCCTCCAAACCCCGCCTCCCAGTTTCGCCCCGCCTCCTCGGCGCTCATTGGCTAGCTCCTCCCGCCCGTCGGCCCATAGCGCTCCTCTCACTGGGCGCCCGCCCCGCCTGTTGGGGCGGGCTCCGCCCTGCGCTGCAGCACGCTCGGCGAGGTGTGCGGCGCGTGCCCGGCGCTGCAGCGAGCGGCGCGCGCGGTGCTGCAGCGCGGGGCGGGCGCGCGCTTCTCCCTCACCCACCCGCACTCCCCCCTCCCCTCCCCCCCCACCCCCCTCCACACACTCCCCTCCCCACACCCCGGCGGCGTCCCGGTATTTTGGGTCGATTAAGGGTTTTTCTGGCCCCGGACCGGCTTCCACCGACGCGAGAGATAACGGGGAAAGCCGTCCCCGGGCGCTGGAAGCCGGCACTGCCCTCCCGTCGGGGCCGCCCCTCGCTCTCTTCGGCGGTGCCCGTCTGAGGTGGCAGTTACCGCTTCCCAGGCCCTGGGCGGGATGGCGGTGCGGCGGGAAAGCACCTGGACCCGATTTCCAAACTTCCAGTTCCAGAAACTCTGTCACAGCCCTCGGTAATTGCTCCCGGGGGTAATTACTCTGATGATTAAGAATAAAAACCTCACCCTTGCAGCAAGTCTGATGTGGTTTCCCAGCCCCCATGTCCACTCGAGTGTCCTCTGTGCCGGCTCTGCAGCCCCCCTCAGCGAACGGTGCTGCCGCGTCTGAGGTCCTGCAGCCATAAAGTCAGCCCAGGCCTCCTGGATGAGCTTGTCCTCACATGTGTGTTTTCCCCCTTCCTTAAACACAACCCTGAGACTTTTTGGAGCCCTCACCCGTTTGCCAATACAATTTCTGGATCGGGTGGGCAGGCAGAAGGCTGCAACATGGGGAAAAAAAGCCATTTGCAGCATCTCTGAGAGTCTCAAGTTCATACGGACTTTGAAAATCAGCACTGGGTGGGTTTCAGGTGTAGCACTTTGGGGTCAGTTTTTTGCTGCCACTGACCAGGCTTTCGAGATGGAGAGCTTCAACGTTGTGATGGCCTTCCGTGTTTTTTTGCAAAACCTTTCCTGTGTTTCGCTCCCTGGCTCAGAAAGCTCCTCGGGGATCACATATGGCACATTCAACCTCCAGGAATGATCACAACCTCTTGCCACAACCACAGCTCGCCCCAGCCCTGCATGCAAGCAGGTAGCTAGAAGCATTAAAGGATCCCATTGCCCGAGCTCTGAGTTTTGTTTCTCTGCCCAGAGTAAAAGCAAATGTGAGTGGCTCAGGAATTAGAGCTATTTTGGTGTGAGGGATTTGTGTTAGATCCTTCTGAACAGGACTGCAAGGAGGGTGAGGAACAGAGAGAAGGGGCAGGAAGGAGCATCAAGCCTGGCACAGGGTGAAGCTCCAGTGGGAGAACTTGGGAAGGGCTGGTGGTGTCAGGCAGCGCCTGGGGACAGGAGTAAGGATGTCTCCCATTTCCCCTGTGGTTAGGAAGCAAGACTTTCTGTGGACTACCTGCACGAACAGAAATGTTTCAAATCAGCATCTGCCATTCCAATACCACTTAGCATTTTCAGACTGGGTGCTCAGTTCAAAAAGGGAGGCAATAAGGCAAACTGCAGGGAACCAGGCTTCTAGCACAGAGCTGGAAATCATTCGATCATCTCTGCTCACCTCTGCACACAAATCAGTTCATGTGCAACTCCTGGCACTTGAATTTATATGAAAGTCTCCCTGTTAATTACCATTTCAGTGGGAGGTCTCGTACATCCTGTTTCACCGAAAAATAAGGGTGTTGACTTGCAAGCGCAGGTAGATGAAAGCTGAAAGGCTGAACTGGTTACTCCCCAGCTGTTTTTCGCTTTGCAAGGACTGCCACTCCCGGGGCCAGTAGGGATGAGCTGTGTGGTGAGCAGAGTGAGGCCAACACCACGTGGATTTTGGGCTGCTTGAATACAGGTATCCAGCACACCGCATCTCCCAGGATTTGCAATTCCTCCTTGCTCAGCCATCAGGTCTCCACGAGATACTCACCCAGCGTTCACAGAGCGATGCCAGCTCCTCAGCAGCACCAGGGCTTTGCAACGGAGCAGCCTGATGAGCATTCTGCTCCCTTTGGAAAAACCGCATGCTCAAGGAGCAGCGTTGTGCACTAGTTAGAGTCACCCCTCGGGGCAGCTGAGGCCGCGGGATGGTGCAGCACCCACACCTCAGTGCCCTCCCACTCCGGGTCAGCGCCTCCACGACACGCTACTTAGGGCTTCAGCCACAAAACTTCCTTGTTTAGGCATACAGAGTCTTTTAAAAGAAAACTGGAAACATCACTCAGAAAACATTATTCTAGAGGCAAGCATTTTGAAGAGTTTAGTTTCTTTTAGAAAATTATTTCCATGGAAAATCTTTGAGGATCGTAAAGATGCCACTTGGAGCATGTCAGGACTATAGTGCTAAGTTATTATTTTTATCACACAATTGTTTTTATCCATGCTGGTGTTAGGAAGGAATTCCCCAAATCTACTCAATGTCTTTAACTCATAGAGGGAAAGATGATATTTATGTCTTCCCCAGGAGACTGGAAAGAGCACAAAGAAACATCTTTCATAAAGGATTTTTATTTGAAATAGAAACTCAGCTGGTCCCTAATCCTAAAATTGTTTCCCTACTTTTAAACAGAAGGCTAATGATACCATTGCTACGAGGGCATGCATGTGCTTAAGGCAAAGCATGTCCCCATGGGTGTTTCCAGAGCTGGAACCTGAGCAGGTAAATAAGAACCACTTAAGCTTAAAGCAGTGCTGTGCTTGAGATTTTTAAAACAATGTGGAGGATTTAGGCAAAAAATGATCCATTCATTTCTAATTTAGAGGTCTTACTACTGGTAACATGTATTGGAAAGCTAATTTCCATACTGAGTGACGTGTACCTCCATCCCCAGTCTGCTTCGGACATTGCTGGGCAGAACAAACTTCTGCAAGGTGAAAACACACAACTGACATCCAACAGCTGTTTGTTCTGTCCCATGTCCCTACCAGCATCCACAAATAAGCCAAACAACTCTCGTTCCTTGATTATTCGACAGCTTTGCTTCCTGCAGAGACTGGCGTCCTTTCTCCCTGCCCTGCTTTCTGACTGCAGCAGATTTTGGGCGCATCTCCAAGATTTACAGACCCAGGTCTGGCCTCCCCCAGGAGCCCCATGTCTCTGCAAAGCGGGACATCTTAGCACCTTTCTGGGTCAAATTTTTTCTCTGTAACTTCAAGTACTGAACAATACTGAGCCAGGGTTTAGAATTAAATATTTAAATGCAGGAGTTGCATATGCACAGACATGGTCTGTACTTAGTGGTGACAAGGGTACACATGAATAAAATCCATGCGGATTCGGTTCCCATTTCAAATCCTGACTTGCTGCGGCTTTGAGTAGCCGCAGTACCTTCCCTGCCCTCGCTCACCCTCCAAAGGGAAGAGACATCATTATGCCCATTTGGCATGTCAGAGATGAGATCACGTTTGATGTATAATGTGCTTTGACACCTTCAGAAGGAAAAGGCAGAATTGTTCATGTAAAAACTGGCTGCTTTGTTGCATGGGATCAAAACACAGAGAAGTGCAGGAATAAAATAACAATTATTCCACAACAAAATTACTTTATAGTAAACATTTCTATGAGAGAAGCTTGAAAGGAATTGGAAATTCATGCCTTATGCTTAATGCTTGAGTTTCAAAGCTTTCCGAGATGTAATAAATTACAGTAAGATGAGGTTACACTTATTTCTTGAAGCATGCTGTCCTCCAGGACTGTGCCGTTTATTTTATCTCATATGTCAATAGGAAACGTTCTGAAACAGGAGGTGTTCTCCAGGGCGCCACGCAGGGATCAGCACCAAATATGAGCTTCATTGTCTCACCCATCATATATTTCAGTCGTGGGTAGTTAAAAAAGTTAGCTAAATCAGGAATGGAAAGTCAGCTTCTTACTCACAAAAGGGGATTGCACAATGGTTGGACAGGCTGCTGTGAACCTGATGTCAGATCAGCAAAAATAGCCACCTCTGCAGCAAATGAGTCAAGATCCGAGCAGCAGAGTGAAAGATTTGCATTCCCTCCAAGCAAGCCTCCAACAACCATGCAGCCATTTTCTAACAGGTTGTGCTGGAAACGAAGACACTCCACAGAACATCTGGAGCCTCTTCAAACATGAAGGGCTGAAGTGGAGCACACAGGATGGGATCCATCTCAGATCATCCTGCTGCAATCGTGCTAGGGGTGAGACCTGGACTCATACAGGGGACCCGTGCTTGCCCACTGCTTGCTTTCTCTCTTCCTTCCCCTTTCCTCCATCCCTCATGCTGGGAAGGAAGAGGGGCTGGGAAGGTAGAGCAGGATTTTCACGAGCATGCCTTCCACCCTCCATGCAAGGATTTGGCATGCATTTCTCTTCCCTCAAGGAAAAGGAGGACTCATTCACAAGTCTCTGCTTAAAACCAGCCAGAAATCTGAACCTCCCTTTTCCCCTCAAAGCAGGAACTTGTCTGCAAGATCTGTCTTCCCCCGCCTCGCTCACACACCCTGGGATCGGAAATTGTCCCTGGGAAAACCACGTGCGGCAGGTTTGGGGAGCTGCCCTTTTACTTCTGGCTAGCTGGGAATTTGCAATTTACTGGGCTGGATTCTCATCCCAGTTACACCAGTTCACATTGCAGAAGCGCTTCTCACTTGCAGTACTGTCTTTAACGGAAAAGGATTTAGCCATTATGTAGTAGAAAGGCCAGAAGAAAAAAATATTTGGGCATCATAGGATCTGAGAGTAATTCAAGCTGGAATGGACTTCAGAAGATCATTTAGTTCAACCTAGCTAGGATTTTGGAGGCTAAAAAAAAAAATAAAGAAAATGGTGGGTTTCCTTTGGAGCCACTTGCAAAGGGCACGTTTTCCTGGGGATCTTTGCCTCATCCAGTACTGGCCTTTGCTCAGCACAACTGCAAGATTAGGTGCTTGGATGCCAGAGGATGAGCATGTCACACATACCTCTCCCCATGGGAAAGATTTCCCTCCTCGTGTTTGGGATGTGGGGTTTATTTGTAGCCTGCTCTCTCATGCCCTATCTCCATTTCCTGTTAGCAGGGCTCATGCATCAATACTGGTACAGCACCCACCTTGGCTACCCTGGCTGGAAACCCTAATTATCCCCTTGCTTTCATTCCTCTGTCCCTCTGCCGATGCTGCCAGGGATCACAGAATGTTTTCTAATTTAAACTAAATGCCCCATTTATATCTGGGCAAACCCCGCAGGGGTTTTTTGAGAGTTGTTGTATACAAATACAAAAGTGATGCCGAGGAACACAAGTCCCCTCCACAGTCCAGGGTTTGGGCTGGCCGTGTGCTGGAGGGGCTAGACAGAAATTGAGGGGCTGCCCCTGAAAGAGGTTACTGCACCAAACGCCCAGAGTGGGAGAGCTGGGCTCTCACTGTGGCTGGGGAGCAGGCAGGGGCAGTTGCCCAGGGTTGGATTCTCACTGCCCCGCACTGGCCCGTGGCCAGGCTGAAGGGACCAAGTCCTTCCTCTTGGGCCAGATCCT